TGGAATTTATATAGGATTTTAGGAACAATTATCATTTTTACCAGGTTTATTCTTCCCATCCAAGATATATTCCCTCCTCTTAATTTCTTTATTTCTTCCTTAATTTCATTTAACAGGGGAATATAGTTTGATCTATACAGGTATTTATATGAAGAAGTAAGTTTCACCCCCAGATATTTTAGTTCCTTCTCTTTTCATACAAAGGGAAATTCCCTTTGCATCTTTTCTTTCTCACTATTTCGGAGGTTTATATTCAATATAACCGTTTTATTAGGGTTGATTTTTAGGTTAGACACCTCCCCATATTCCTTCAATGTTCTCATTAGATTAGGGAGTGTTATTCTAGGGTTTCCAACATAAAACAATAAATCATCCGCAAAATCAGCCACCTTATGTTCAGTACTTCCTATACCTATTCCCCTAATATCAACGTTTCTCCTTATTGTTAACAGCAAGGACTCCAAAGATAAGACATATAACAGGGGGGACAATGAGCAACCCTGTCTTGTTCCATATGACATCAAATGACTCTGACATTTCCCCATTTACCAGAACCACTGCAGAGTGCCTTTTGTATAATTTTCCTATCCATCCTATCCACTCTCTCATTCTACTTCCTATTCCCAAGGCTACCAAAGTATCCATCATAAAGCTTCAGCTAACTCTATCAAATGCCTTTTCCACATCCACAGAAAGCACAACCACCGGAAGCTTCTCCTTTTTACATTTCTGAATTAACATTAACGATCTTAACCCATTGTCTCTACCTTCTCTACCCTGGACAAATCCAACCTGGTCTCTATGTACCCATTCTGGCATTAGGTCTCTCAATCTATTTGCCAAAACCTTTGCATACAGTTTCGTATCTGTATTCAACAACGATATGGGTGTATAGCTTGAACATTGGGAAACATCCTTTCCTTCCTTATGGATAAGGACCACCTGAGCATGCAAGGATTCCCTCCTCATTTCCATCTCTCCCCCCATTCATATAATTCTTCAATTTAGGCATCAGTACTTCAATATATTTTCTATAATACCTTACTGTATAACCGTCCGGCCCAGGGCTCTTTCCCGTCTTAAAACTCTTTAATGCCATTTTTATTTCATCTTGTGTAATTTCAGAGTCTAGGGAATTTAAAAGTTCTTCATTTAATTTCGGGAGGTCTGCATTTTTTATATATTCCCTTCTTTTTCCATTATTTACACTATCTTCCTTACTTATAGAGTCATGTGGGGCAATGTTATACAATTTACTATAAAAATCCTTAAATACCTTTGCTATTTCTTTAGTTGAATACACCAATTCTCCCTTGGGGTTTTTTATTTTATCTATATAATTTCTATTTTTCTTTTTCCTCACGGCTCTCATCATTTTTTTATGCAGTTGTTCTAATTCAGCTAATTCCTCCAAGAGCCTACAATTTTATTCTCTCCTTTCTCTTTTCTTTTTTGCCCCAATTGCAATAAGGATTCCTCTTATGTACGCTTTATGGGCCTCCCACACTGTAGCCAGTGAAACATCTCCCGTCTCATTTTCCTCAAAAAATCTCCTAATCTCTTCTCCAATCTCTTCTATCAGTGTCTTGATCCATAAGTAATGACTCATTTAACCTCCATGACATACCTCTTACCAGTTTCCTCCTCCAACCCACTTTCATTATGACAGGAGCATGGTCCGAAAGAGACATTGCTTCTATTTTTACTTTAGCTAAGGTTTCAATAAGTTGGTGATCAATCAAAATATAATCTAATCTGGAATACATCTCATGGACACTTGAAAAAAAAAGTATACTCTCTATCCCTCATATGCATAATTCTCCAGCTATCCACCAGTTGACATTCTTTCATCTCTTTTTTTCAATAATCTCAAGGGCCTACTCCCCTCTCTCTGAACATAAGAAGTCGTATCCGTCTGTGGGTCCATACATAAATTAAAATCCCCAGCCACTATCAAAAATCCTTTCTTAAAATCCAACAAGCTTTTTAAAATTCCTTTCAAAAATACCTCCTCCTTCTTATTTGGGCAATAGATATTAGCAATTGTACACTCTATATCCTGCAGCTTACCCTTCAAAAACAAAAACCTCCCCTCAGGATCAGTTTTTCTATCCTCCAATTCAAATCTTATATTCTTAGCGAATCCTATAGCAACACCATTTGCCCTCTTAATAGGGGAATCTGCATAATACCATGTTGGATAATGTCTAGAGTTTAGCTTAATATTTGATCTTAACGCAAAATGCGTTTCCTGCAAAAATACTACTGAAACTGCTCTATGTTGAAGTTCCCTAACTAGTGGTCGGACAATTCAGCCAATTTATGTTATATGTTATAAACTGTAACTCCTCTATTCTTCTTTTGATTTTTTATCTTCACTTTTCTCTACTCTCTTTATTTTTACTTTTTTTCCTTTCTTTTTCTTCCTTATTTTTCCCTACTTCATCTTTCTCCTCTTCATGTAGGATATCAACTTTAAGATTCCCCCCGCCCCTCCCCCCATCAATCCCCCCCCCACTTCCCATCCCATCCCTAATTTGGCTTATCAATTACCTTCTAATCATTTTAGGGTTCTAACCCACCTTAGCTTTAAAACCTGGGGTTGGGCTCTAACCCTGCACGGCTCCTTCCCTCCCCATCACCCCAGGCTTCTCTCTTCCATCTCAGACTCCGCATGGCTCATTCCTACCCTAAACACCCCTCCTTTATATGCACATTTATCTCCAGAGAGGATGAAGAGGAGAAAAAAAAGGGAATACAGGGGCAAGAGAGAATAAGAGACATAGAAACAAGGAAGGAAAGAGAGGAGGAGAAAAAAAAAAATTTCCTTCCTTTTTTCTTCTTCCCCTTATATATTTTCTTCCCTTCTCCCCCCTCTCCCTCCCTCCTATCTCCTCCCTCTAACCACCTGCCACTCTCTTCTCTTAACTCCCAAATCTCCCTCCTCCCCATCCCATCCAAGAACCTCTATAAGTTGCAATTCAAGTCTATCACAAAAGTCCTTTAAGTCCTCAGGGAATCTCAAATAAGCTGTAACTCCATTCTTCCATCCGATTAAGCACACCGGAGTACCCCATCTATAGTGCACGTTCTGTTTTTTCATCTGCTCTATTAGGGGTTTTAAAAGTCTTTCTTTTTAGGGTCTCTCTCGAAATATCCGCAAAAATCTGTATATCTACTTCTCCGTATTTAATACTTGATCTTCCCTTGATCTTTCTCCATATTTCTTCCTTGTCTCCATACTTCTGAAATTGCACAATTACATCCCTTGATTTCTCTTTTCCACTTCTTTGCTGGGACCTTCCAATTCTAAATATTTCTCCTATGTTGACCAATTCAGTTTCATTTCTACCCATTATGGAGTTTACTATTTTGCCGATTAGACCTCGTAATTCTTCTCCTCTTAAAAGTTCCGGAATACCTTTTACCCTTATGTTACACCTCCTCTCCCTATTTTCTTGTATCTCTAGCCTATATAGCAATTCTCTTTGATCCCTCTTTATGGCGAGTGTCCTTTTATCCAAATCAGCAATATTCTGGGCATGGTTTTTAACTTTTTCCTCCATTTCCTCCTCTCTACATAACAACTGCCCCATATCACTCCGCAAAGTTGCCATTTCTTGTTTTATTGTTTCCTCCAAACTTTTGAACATATCCGACATTTCTTTTTTATTTGGAACTTGCAATTCACTTTGTTCTTCTCTTATCTCCATATTTCCTATTATTTGTTGATTGCTATATTTTGCTCCTAGGGACAGTCTGGGGCTACCATCAACACTCACTTTCAATTCACTTTTTTCACTAGCCCCCTGAGATCTTTCTGGAGTCAATTTGCCTTGTGATGTATATTTTTTTATCGCACCAGTTTGATACCCCTTTGGCCCATTACTTTTAACATTTTTATTCTTCATCTCTTCTTTGCTTATTATTTTCTCCAATATAGGAACCATACTAGGTCCAAAAGGAGAGACAAACATAACCTTGTGCCGAGGTTATGGGGCGAGGTTTTTTTTTTAATGTTTTGATTTTTTTTTATAATTTTTACACTGTCCCTTTAATTTTTTTTTTATCACTTTTAATGCTATTACAGGGAATGCAAATATCCCTTATAAATTCAATGGGCATTGGCATACTTTCTTTTTTGAGAAATCTGGGGTCTATCAGACTCTAGATATCTCCTCTGCCCTTACATTATCTAAAACCAAGATAATGCTTTCCCAATTTACAAATGGCGCTGTTTACATCCTGTGAAACTGAAGTGATGAAATGCTTATAGCTTCCGATTTTTTAGACTATAGATTGGCACCATTCTGGTCTCCAGTCAGCTCTATGGTCAGCTGGCAGAAACACTGGCTGCATTCTCAGGTTCCCCCGATGGCACGGGACTGCCCGAGAAGGCCGTGGAAAGCAGCGGGGGAGGCGGTGCATCATCTCCCGCTGCTTGTAAAAGCAATCCTTCAGCTAATTAGACACTAGGATTGCTTTTACATGAAAGCCGATCGCTGGCTGAAAAAACAATACAAATATGATGCCTGCAGCTGTTTTTTGCTGGGGATTATAGACATCTGCAAATTTTTGGTTAAGGTGATTTACAAAGGGCCGAATTTTGTGAAGCCAGTCAAATTCAGGGTCACCCCGAGGATGACAGAGTGTATTGTCGTTGAAATGCATAAAAACACATTATACTCTCATATATATGCCTGGTCATGGCCGCAGAGAACACGGGCATATGATGAATCGGGTCTGAGGACCAATACAACAGCAATTAATTTTTTTCTAGTAATGCCCATGTTGAGAGTTAGGCCCCCAAAATATTTAAATTCGGTAACCGTAATGGGTTTCCATGTGAATGGTCTGGCAAGGTTTGAATTTGGGTTGGCGGCAATAAATTGTTGTGCATATAAATTGCTTTGATCCACAATCAATGCATACAAATCTTCCGAGAAAAACAGCTCCAAAAAATCAAGGGAAGTAGTTAAATGTGCTGTTTCCACCTGAATTCCGGGTTGGGCAGTGAATGGGGGAAGTGCGGGTGCTGCAGAATTTGTGGGCTGCCAATCGGGATTTGCAAGCACATCCGAAAGGATACTAGGGGCGTAGAGCCTGTGTGCGAATTATTGGTGGTTGCGGGACAATACTCACCACTGCACCAGCTTGTACTGCACTTATGGGACTCACCACGTCACCAAGTGATACTGCAGTGCTGGTATTATTATTATATAGCATTTATATAGCTCCAACTATTTACTCAGTGCTGTACAATATAATGGGAGACAATACAGCAACAATACAGTTCAATATAAGAGGGTTAGGGCCTGATCCTGGGAGCTTACAATCTAAGAGATATGTGAAAGACCAGGACGTACTAGGCCACTAGTGTTCGCCAGTTCACCAAAAGGTAGCGCAGCACTAGTACTGGCACTCTGCTGCATATGAGTGTCATCAAAATTTACCGACAAGTGCTAACAGAGATCAGGCCCGATTCTGCGAACACTGCGGTTTTGTGTGCAATGTATTAAGTAACAGTGACCTACTGACACTGCACTTGCTAGAGGAGAAGGGGGGGTAAGCGTAGGGGCTAAACGCAGGCGCTGGCAGGGGCCGGGGCTGATCCTGCTAATGGTGCGTTTTTGGATACGCTATACTAATGTGAACGCTGGTATAGTGCTGATCTGATCAAAGATATTGATCCATTCAGACACTATACTAGCAATGGAGGTTTATTGTGTATGAGCGTCTTCCTGGCAATCAAGGGGTTAAATGTGATTACTGGTGACGCTATCTGGGAGGGGCATGAAAACCGCGGGAGCACGAATCACGTATATATATGTGATTTTTGAGCACTCGTGCCGCCCTGTAGCAGTATTTCTGATATAAGGCGGTCAGGAAGCGGTTACAGAAGCGGTTTTTGTACGGCTCTGCGTTACTATAACTGACAATTGTGCGATCATGCAACGCTGCACCAAAATTAAATATATGTCATTTTTCCCCACAAATTGAGCTTTCTTTTGGTGGTATATATATGATCGCCTGTGCATTTTTTTATTGTTTTATAAAAAAAAAGCCTGACAATTTTGAGAAAAAAACAAACAATATTTTGGACTTTTTGCTATAAAACATGTCCAGTAAAAAAATAAAAATCTAATTTCTTCATAAATTTATAGCGTTTACAAATGGTGGTATATATACTAGATATTTTTTTATACTAATAATAGCGGCAAACAGCGACTTATGGCGGGACTGCGGTGGACATTCTGACACTGGGGGTGAACTGACTTGGGGTCACTGACATCCCCAGTGACACCAATATAGTGATCAGTGCAAAAAAAAGCACTGACACTGTACTAATGGCACTGGGAAGGAAGGGGTTAACATTTTTTGGCAATCAAAGTGCTAACTGTGTGAGGGGAGTGTTTAACTAGGGGGCGGGGGTGTGTGCTTCACAGGAACACACTGTCCCTGAAAGCTAAGCTCTGCTCTCCAGAACAGTGTGCTGGAAACTGACAGGGAGCAGAGCTGCATTGAAAACAATGCAGCTGTGCTCCCTGTCAGTGTTTGCCGGCAATTGCTGGGACCTGGCGGGTAATCACCGGCTAGGACCCGGTGATTGACGGACCCGGTGATTGACACTCAGGGCCGTGATCGGTGGCGTGGGTAGGGCGGGCGCGCGCCCCCTAGCATGTAAACAGGATTACGTTTATAAACGTGATCCTGCCTACAGGGGGCGCTTTGCCGCAGTAAATGTACAGTGGGCAGTCCCCTAGTGGTTAAGTCATATTGTTTTAGGTTGTGTACACTTACTGCTAGCTGCCTGTTTATTATTTTTTCTTTAGTTCTAACCAACTTACTATATCAGTGGATTATTTCAGCAGCTGGGGATTGCAGACTTTCAGTGACTTGCCTTCTTCTGAACAGCACCACTCTCTTAGGCTCCATTCACACCAATGCATTTTTTTGTGTTTTTTGCAGAAATGCACTACAGTCCATTTAACATGGTTTCCTATGGAAGATGTTCACTGCTTTTTTGAGCTGGTGCGTTTTTGGAAAGGGTCAGGGATTTTTTTAACTGCTTTGGGACCACCCGCAGTACTTTTACTGCTACAGGGTGGCCCCTGTGCGCAGGATCATGTATATATATGTGATTCTGCATTTCCGATCGCGGTCCCGAGTGTCAGTCACAGGGTCCTGGCCGATGATTACCCGCCGGCGCCCAGTGATCACCGACAGGGAGGAGGGCTTGTATTGTTTACCAGCAGCCCTCCTTCCTGTCATTTTGGGCACACTGCTTGGGATGGCTGAGCAGAGCCATCCTGATCAGTGTGCTTACAGTGAAGCACACTAGTAAAACACTTCCATCACACATTTAACCCTTTGATTGCCCCTCATGTTAACCCATTCTCCTGCCCAGTGCCATTAGTACAGTGTCAGTTTTTTTTTTTTAGCACTGGTCACTGTATTGGTGTCACTGGGGATGTCAGTGACACCAAGTCAGTTCCCCCCAGTGTCAGAATGCCCGCTCCAGTCCCGCTATAAGTCGCTGATTGCCGCCGTTATTAGTATTAAAAAAAAAATCCCAGTATCTATACCGCCATTTGTTGTAAACACTATAACTTTCACATAAACCTATTAATTTACACGTATTGGGGATTTTTTTTTTTTAGCAAAGACATGTCGCAGAATACATGTTGGCTTAAATTTATGACAAAATTTGATTTTGATTTTTTTACTGGGCATGTTTAATAGCAAAAATCCAAAATATTGTTTTTTTTTTTCTCAAAATTGTCGGTCTTTTTGTTTATAGAGCAAAAAATTAAAAATGCACAGGTGATAAAATACCACTGAAAGTAGGCTCAATTTGTGGGGAAAAAAAGGATGTAAATCTCATTTGGTCGCATTTGGGCGTAAATCTCATTTGTTTCGAGCTCCAAGCTCGTTATCAAAGGGGTGATAACGAGCTTGGAGCTCGAAACATGTCAGGGGATCCACCCAGCAGACGCCACTAACCACCAGGGAACCACTGACCACCAGGAATCTTTGTTATATGCTTGGAGATCACCTAAAACTCCAAATGTGAGTTGTATACCAATTTTATTTGACATATTAGAATAAAGACGTACTTCACCATTAGTACCTTTTGCCTTTGGCTCGTTATTTGCGAGCCATGTAAGGTGGACCATCTCAGGAGAAGTACCACCAGGACCAGGCTGGACGTCGTTGGACTCACCGGTGAACCAGATGTGACCCCTGAGTGTTTGCTGAGGCCCTCAAGAGTCTAACGTGGATAACCGGTTACCGTTCTCATTTCCGTCCAGGCCCTTTTCCAGCTGCTGATGGTATACTTGATGACATGCATACAACGCTCAGTTTGTATGTTCTTGTGGTAAGCGCATTATTGTACTAGTTTCTTCAGGATTTTAGATCGAGTGAACATCTGAAGTTCTTGCTGTTTTTGTACATCCCACATATGTTCAAGTCCACGGGAACTTTTCTTACTGGGTTTATTCATTTCATACCAGACTTTTTTTACTCAAGGTGTTGATATTATGTTCCAGCGATTATGCTGAGATTTCGTGTTTAACATTTTATTTGTTTTATAGCGCTGCATATTCCAATTATTTGTATTTTGATCTGAGGTGCTGAGGATTGCCTTATTTGCTAGCTGCCGATATTTTGTATTTTGCGCTCACTTGCCTTATCTTTGTTTATGCTTCTTTAACTGCTTCCTGACCTCCCTATAGCAGAAATACTACTACAGGGCGGCACAGATGCGCAAAATCACAGATATATATATATATCTGTGATATATATCTGTCTATATGTGATTCACGCTCCCGTGGTTTTCACGCCCCTCCCAGATAGCATCCGATTGCCCGTTAGTACACCAGTAATCACGTTTAACTCCTTGATTTCCAGGAACATGCTCTACACAATAAACCTCCATTGCTAGTATAGTTCCTGAACGGATCAATATATTTGATCAGATCAGCACTATACCAGCGTTCACATTAGTATAGTGTGCCCAAAAACACAGCGTTAGCAGGATCAGCCGCAGCTCCTGCCAGCACCTGCATTTAGCCCCTACGCTTACCCCCCCTTCTCCTCTAGCAAGTGCAGTGTCAGTAGGTCACTGTTACTTAATACATTGCACACAAAACCGCAGTGTTCGCAGAATCAGGCCTGATCTCTGCTAGCACTTGCCGGCAAATTTTGATGACACTCATATGCAGCAGAGTGCCAGTTCTAGTGCTGCTCTACCTTTTGGTGAACTGGTGAGCACCAGTAGCCTAGTACATCCTAAGCTTTCACATACCAGCACTGCAGTATCACTTGGTGATGTGGTGAGTCCCCTAAGTGCAGTATAAGCTGGTGCGGTGGCAAGCACAAGTATTGTCCCGCAACCAACAAGAATTTGCACACAGGCCCGTACAGCCCCTAGTATCTTTCCAGATGTGCTTGCAAATCCCGATTGGCAACCCACAAATTATGCAGCACCCGTACTTCCCCCATTCACTGCCCATCCTGGAATTCAAGTGGAAATAGCAAATTTAACTACTTCCCTTGATTTTTTGGAGCTGTTTTTCATGGAAGATCTGTATAGATTGATTGTGGACCAAAGCAATGCACAAAAATTTATCGCCGCCAACCCAAATTCAAACCTTGCCAGACCATTTGCCTGGAAACCCATTACAGTCTCCAAATTTAAATTTTTTTTGGGCCTAACCCTCAACATGGGCATTACTAAAAAGAAATGAATTGCGGTTGTATTGATCCACAGACCTGATTCATCATATACCCGTGTTCTCTGCTGCCATGGCCAGGCATAGATATGAGAGTATAATGTGTTTTATGCATTTCAACGACATTACACTCTGTCGTCCTTGGGTGACCCTGAATTTGACTGGCTTCAGAAAATCTGGCACCTCGTAAATCACCTTAACCAAAAATTTGCAGATGTCTATACTCCTTTAGCAAAAAATGGGGAGTAGTGGCAAGATAGTTTGGGACTTGGTGTCATCCTTTTTCCATATGGGGTACCACTTATATGTGGACAATTTTTTATTGAAGCGTGCCACTATTTAAACATTTGTACAATCTTGGAATTCACGCATGTGGCACCGTACGACCTAATGTGTGCCCGCCATTAGAAGTGGGTGGATGCAGGGTGGTATATACTAATTGTGGGCATACCACACACTTTTTTCTGGCAGAGATTTCTTTTCTTTTTTTTCATTCAACCCACAGGCTGCATACAAAAAAAAATAGCATATATACCCAACAAGGACCAGCGACGTACTGGTACATCACTGGACTTTGAATGGTTATACCAGGATGATGCCTACAGCTGCAGGCATCATCCTGGTATTGTTTTTTTATATAAAAGCAATCTTAGTGGCTAATTAGCTGCAGGATTGCTTTTACAAGCAGTGGGAGACGATACCCCTCCC